TAATTTAAAAGGTTCACTGGACCAGTCTATGCCTTTCGTTACAATTTTTTTATTTTTTGAGATGGATTCACACTCTGTTGCCCAGGCTGGAGTGTGGTGGCATGATCTCAGCTCACTGCAACCTCCACCTCCCAAGTTCAAGCGATTCTCCTGCCTCAGCCTCCTGAATAGCTGGGATTACAGGTGCCCACCACCACAGCCTGGCTAAATGTTGTATTTTTAGTAGAGATGGGATTTCACCATGTTGCCCAGGCTGGTCTTGAACTCCTGTCCTCAGGCGATCCACCCACCTCAGCCTCCCAAAGTGCTGGGATAACAAGTATGAGCCACCGTGCCCCGCAGATGCTTCATATTTTCAAACTGGCCAAAATGTGTATTTTTGTGAAAAGTTTGAATTTGAAACTATTCTATCTCTTTTCCTTCCTCTTTCTTTTTCTCCTGTCTTCACTCCTTCCATCTTCCATTTATTTTTTTCAGGAAAAGAAAGCTATTGGGAATACTTCTGTCTTGGAAAGTAAACAGACTTTTTAGGAAGAAAGCAGAGAGTTTATAGACCCAGAGTCCAGGACTTCTGCCTTTTTCTTGCTTGCTTTTGTTTTTTAAAAATATTTTATGTTGTCCCGACGCAGTGCCTCATGCCTGTAATCACAGTACTTTGGGAGGCTGAGGCGGGTGGATCATGAGGTCAAGAGATCAAGACCATCCTGGCTAACATGGTGAAATCCCGTCTCTACTAAAAATACAAAAATTAGCTGGGAGTGGTGGTGGGCAGCTGTAATCCTAGCTACTCAGGAGGCTGAGGCAGGGGAATCACTTGAACCTGGGAGGCAGAGGTTGCAGTAAGCTGAGATCGCGCCACTGCATTCCAGCCTGGGCGACAGAGCAAGACTCCATCTCAAAAAAAGAAATTTTATGTTTTTAGAGATGGGGTCTCTCTGCATTGCCCAGGCTGGTTTGAAAATCCTGGTCTCCAGTGATCCTCCTGCCTCAATCCTTCAAAGTGCTGGTACTATAGGCAAGAGCCTGGCCTGGACTTTTGCATCTCTTCCCATTTTTTTTTTTTTTTTTTTTGGAGATGAAGTTTCACTCTTCTTGTCCAGGCTGAAGTACAGTGATGTACGATCGAGCTCACTGACTCACTGACTGCAACCTCTGCCTCCCGGGTTCAAGTGATTCTCCTACCTCAGCCACCAGAGTAGCTGGGATTACAGGCACACGCCACCAGACCCGGCAATTTTTCTCTTTCTTCCCTCCCTTCCTCCCTCCCTCCCTCCCTCCCTTCCTTCCTTTCTTTCTTTCTTTGTATTTTTAGTAGAGACAAGATTTCTCCATGTTGTCCAGGCTGGTCTCAAACTTTTGGCCTCACATGATCCACCTGCCTCGGCCTCCCAAAGTGCTGGGATTACAGGCATGAGCCTTTTCTTGCCATGCAATAAAAGGAAAATATACTGGTCAAACTTTTCTTCCCATTTCTAGGAGGGTCCTACCATGTGCTCTTAAGCAAGTTCTGTAGTTTCTTCATGACTCTTTTTCTCAATCATTTACCACACAGAGCTGACACTTCTACTCCCCAAGGGGAATGGCTATCTGCATAAACTGAACAACCAAGGAAAAGTACAAAATGTCACGTGAATATGTTTTATTCATGAGAAACACTATGAAGGCTGTGTACAGTGAAGAAAGAACTTTTGGTCACAGAGGGTATTTTTTTCTTCCAGCCACACCCACATACTGACAACAATCTCAGTCAGTTGTGCCCTCTCTGATTACAAAGAGGTAACACAAAAAATTCTGGCTGTAGCAGAGTCCTAGTTCACATAAAAGGGACAAGTTTGGAAGCAAGACTGATGGGTGGCAGAGCTGGGGGATAGTCACAAAGACCAGGGTCACTTCCAGTTCTAAGATACCAGAATTTTAGTTTTTTGAGTTCGGGAGAAAGGATGCTCAGCTGAGCAGAAGCATCCCACCTTCATCAGTCAGTGTTAAAACTGTGGCACCACTCAGCCTGCCTGAGGTCGATTTTAATACCTTATCTTCACCTGGGTTTAAATTAGTTGTGGTCACATAGATTACAAATATAGGGTTTTTATGGACATGGTGGCTCATGCCTGTAATCCCAACACATTGACAGGCCGTAGGCCAGCAGATCACTTGAGGTCAAGGGTTCTAGACCAGCCTGGCCAACATAGTGAAAACCCGTCTCTACTAAAAATACAAAAATAAGCTGGGCATGGTGGCACGCATCTGTAATCACAGCTACTCAGGAGGCTGAGGCATGAGAATCAATTGAACCTGGGAGGCAGAGGTTGCAGTGAGCCAAGATTGTACCACTGCACTCCAGCCTGGGTGACAGAGACTCTGTCTCAAAAAAAAAAGCAAGTATAGGATTTTTTTTTTTTGAGATGGAGTTTCACTCTTGTTACCCAGGCTGGAGTGCAATGGCGCGATCTCGGCTCACCGCAACCTCCACCTCCCGTGTTCAGGCAATTCTCCTGCCTCAGCCTCCTGAGTAGCTGGGATTACAGGCACGCGCCACTGTGCCCAGCTGAGTTTTTGTATTTTTAGTAGAGACGGAGTTTCACCATGTTGACCAGGATGGTCTCGATCTCTTGACCTCATGATCCACCCACCTCAACCTCCCAAAGTGCTGGGATTACAGGCGTGAGCCACCGCGCCCGGCCCTAGGATTTTAAAAAATGCATTAGTTTTGTGTGGATGAATATAAAAGGTTGGAAAGTGTGCCTTTTACTGACATCACAAAAAGCTTGACCAACATATTTTCCTTTAATTTAATTATTCATTTAATTACCAGATGGGAGAGAAATAGGGATTTCTTTTTTTTTTTAGACAGAGTTTTGCTCTTGTCGCCCAGGCTGGAGTGCAGTGGCACAATCTCGCCTCACCGCAACCTCTGCCTCCTGAGTTCAAGCGATTCTCCAGCCTCAGCTTCCCAAGTAGCTGGGATTACAGGCACCCACCACCAGGTTTTTATTTTCAGTAGAGACGGGTTTCACCATGTTGGCCAGGCTGGTCTTAAACTCCTGACCTCAGGTGATCCGCCCACCTTGGCCTCCCAAAGTGCTGGGATTACAGGCATGAGCCACTGCCAGAAAGAGATTTGAAACCAAAGATAATTGAAGGCAAGCCCTTGAGTGTTAATCCAAGATCAGGACTAATGAACGGCCTGGTGTCTATGTCTTCCGAGACAGAGGGTGTAATGGGATGGAGGTGCAGAGCTCTGAGAGAGAAGTTTCTGTCTCACAAAATGAAAAGGAAGAGCTACTGGCAGGAACAGAGGCAACTGCCAGTTAGTCCTCTATAAGCTGTCACTCTGCCCCTACTCCCGGCCTGCACCAGCCGGTCACTACTGAGTCAGAGCCTACACCTGGCTCCCTGGCTGGGGAGACTCACTATCCTCCTTATCCCACCCACATCTTTATAAAGTCCCTCATTGAATAAAGTGTCCATGAAAGGGTTCGCTTTCTTCATAAAATTCCAGTAACTGAGGAAAGTCTCACCCTCCTCTTGAAGTTTGGAAACACATTTATAGTTAATGTATAGTGTATATACTATATACTATCTATGAATAGATAGTATATATTACTCTCATTTTCATCCTGAGAGTAAAATGAGTAAATTCCTGTGAGTTTCCTCCTGATCCTTGTGGTAATTAAATCCTGGCAAAAAGAGCTTTTCTGTGAAATATTCAAGGAAATTTTTTAAAATTGCAGTTGTGGCAGGGTGTGGTGGCTCATGCCTCTAATCCCAGCACTTTGGGAGGCCAAGGCAGGTGGATCACTTGAGGTCAGGAGTTCCAGACCAGTCTGGCCAACATGGTGAAACTCCATCTCTACTAAAAACACAAAAATTAGCCGAGTGTGGTGGCGGGTGCCTGTAGTCCCAGCTACTAGAAGGCTGAGGCAGGAGAACTGCTTCAATCTGAAAGGCAGAGGTTGCAGTGAGCTGAGATTGCACCACTACACTCCAGCCTGGGTGACAGAGCAAGACTCAGTTTCAAAAATAAATAAAATAAGAATTGCAGTTATTATTGCAGAGTATTCATGAAGAGAATATATTTTTTTCCCCTAGAATCCTTCATCTGAATCCCAAGGCTACATGAAAGTGGAATTTCTTTTTTCTTTTTTTTTTCGCAATGGAGTCTCCTTTTGTCGCCCAGGCTGGAGTGCAGTGGTGCCATCTTGGCTCACTGCAACCTCTGCTTTCTGGGTTCAAGTGATTCTCCTGCCTCAGACCCCCTGAGTAGCTGGGACTGCAGGTACGTGTCACTATGCCCAGCTAATTTTTTGTATTTTTAGTAGAGATGAGGTTTCACCATGTTAGCCAGGATGGTCTTAATCTCCTGACATAGTGATCCACCTGCCTCAGCCTCCTAAAGTGCTGGGATTACAGGCATGAGCCACCGTGCCCAGCGAAAGTGGAATTTCTCTCCTGAAGGAAATCAAAAGATTGTTACTAGGATATGCTAATACTTTTTTTTTCCTCAGTGAGAGGTCACTGTTTCCTACCGCAATGCTTTGGGAGGGCTTCTCAGGTGCACCTGTTAGATTTTGATTCCAACCCTGGCTTCTGCAAGTGAGGTATGTTTAGGTCATTGTTTTGACCAGGTGCCAACAAATAATCTAAGGATGTCCTTGGTGTCTGCCCTCTCTGCCAACTTTAAATCTGGGAAGGTTGAAGGCTAGCTTTAAACACAGGGGATTGGCCTGGCCAGGTGGCTCACGCCTATAAACTGAGCACTTTGGAAGACCAAGGTGGGTGAATCACTTGAGGTCAGGAGTTTGAGACCAACCCAACATGGTGAAACCCTGTCTCTACTAAAAATACAAAAAAATTAGCCAGGCATGGTGATGGGTGCCTGTAATCCCAGATATTTGGGAGGCTGAGGCTGGAGAATCGCTTGAACCCAGGTGGCAGATCACACCACTGCACTCCAGCCTGGGTGACAGAGCAAGACTCCATCACAAAAAAAAAAAAAAGAAAAGAAAAGAAAATACTTTTACCTAAGTTTACATAGTTTTCTGTTATAGATAATGTTATTAAGTAGATATGTATAAAAGTCTATGAATAAAACCTATTTCCTTCAGGCCTGGAGCAGAATCCAACTGCCTATTTCGGCACGGGGTAAAAGCTCCGTTTGGAAAATTGTCTGACACATAGCAGGCACTCATATTAACTAAACTGTCTCTGTTGTCTTCAACTGCTAACTCCCTCGATCAGCTTCTGTGCTCTCAACAGAACTCTCAAAGTCTAAGTAAAGCCTATGACACTTTTCCTGTAACTGTGATGATAAGTAACTTGAATTCACTTACCAAAATCTTTTTTAAAAATTAAGACACCATATATGTTACAAAGCTCAAAGCAGGCTGGGCACAGTGGCTCGCACTTGTAATCCCAGCCGTTTGTGAGGCCAAGGCATGAGGATTGCTAGAGCCCAGGAGTTTGAGACTAGTCTGGGCAACATAGGGAAATCTCGTCTTTACAAAAAAAAATTTTTTTTTTTAAATTAGCCAGGCAAACTGGCATGCAGCCCAGCTACTCGGGAAGCTGAGCCAAGAGGATGGAGAGGACTGCTTGAACCCATGAGGTCAAGACTGCAGTAAGCCACGGTCATGTACTCTAGCTCAGGTGACAGAGTAAGCAGAGTAAGACCCTGCCTAAAAAAGTAAAGCTCGACACAGATAGCATTTTATTAACCTCCGCCATTAGAAAGGGGAAGACTCATAGGAGTATATAAACCACCAGCTTCCAATTCCTCAACTGCTTCCTACCTAACTTCTCCATATACCAGATAAATATGCAATATTTTACATTCTGCTGATAGAGTGCCAATTAATGTTGGCAAGATTATTTAAAATGGAAATGTAGAGTCTGTTAAAGACGCAGGAAACAGAATATAAAAGCCCTCACAACTGACTAAATTTTTTTTTTTTTTTTTTTTTTTTTGAGACGGCGTCTCGCTCTTTGGCTCAGGCTGGAGGGCAGTGGTGTGATGTCAGCTCCCTGAGACCTCTGCCACCCAGGTTCAAGCAATTCTCCTGCCTCAGCCTCCCAAATAGCTGGGATTACAGGCACCTGCCACTGCTCCCAGCTAATTTTTGTAGGTTTAGTAAAGACGGATTTCACCATCTTGGCCAGGCTGGTCTTGAACTCCTGACCTCATGATCTACCCACCTTGGCCTCCCAAAGTGCTCATAGGCATGAGCCACCACTCCCAGCCTATTGGCTAGATTTTATAATGTTTCATAACATGTTTTTTGTACCAAAAGAATAGGGTAGTTGACTTTTAAAAGAGTTGTTGTTTTCTTAAAGTCTTCCTGTTACTTTGGCAATAGTAAATAGCAGTCCAAATTAGCAATTGCTTAAAATGTTTGAAGGGTCAAGCATCTGGGAGAATGGGAACCTGATGTAGCCCTCCCTTGTTTGTTTTCATCTTTCATTCTACAAGCAATTGCTGAATGAATATACACTGTGTGCCATCAGTATTCTAGGCTGTATGGGAGATATTGTTTTTATTTTTATTTTTTTGAGACAGAGTCTCACGCTGTTGCCCCGGCTGGAGTGCAGTGGTGTGACCTCAGCTCACTGCAACCTCTGCCTCCCAAGTTCAAGTGATTCTCCCGCTTCAGCCTCCCAAGTAGCTGGGATTACAGGTAAGCACCACATCCAGCCAATTTTTGTGTTTTGAGTAGAGATGAGTTTCACCATGTTGGCCAGGCTGATCTCAAACTCCTGACCTCAAGTGGTCTGCTTGCCTTGGCCTCCCAAAGTGCTGGAATGAAAGGCATGAGCCAGTGCACCTGGCCTATTTTACTTTGTTTTGTTTTATTTTATTTTAGAGACAGAGTCTTGCTCTGTTGCGCAGGCTGGAGTGCAGCACCGTGGTCATAGCTTACTGCATACTTGAACCCCTGGACTCAAGTGATCCTCCTGCCTCAACCTCCTGAATAGCTAGGACTACAGGCGTACACCACCATATCTGGCTAATTTTTAAATTTTTTGTCGAGATGGGTATCTCACTATGTTTCCCAGGCTGATCTCTGACCTCTGGACTCAAACGATCCTCCCACCTTGGTCTCCCAAAGTGCTGGGATTATAGATAGGTGTGAGCCACCACTTCTGGCCTTTATGGGATATATACAGGCATATAAGAGTGCAACATCTTCCATTAAGGTTATAATTTAGTAAAGGAAGTAAGATGTGCATATATAAATATCCAGGATATTATACAAGACAGGATATAAGGAAAGTGCAAAGTACTTTCCCGGAGTGATTGGGACAGTATGTGGGCAGCTAGCCTTTGAGCTGGCACAAAAAGGACAAGAGGAGAGGGAAGGAACATCCAGGCAGAGGTAACTGTGTGGGGGAATACATGGCCAAACTTCCTCCTCTGTAAAGTCTTCTCTGACCCTCTCCCCATTTTCCTTAGCTGTCCCAAATTGAGATAGACTCCTTCTGCCTTCTTGCTTTCTGTAATTGTTAAGTACCTTCATTGTAACACTTACTATATATAACTGTCGTTTGCCTGTCTGTCACTCCAGTAAATTATAATCTCCTTTAGGGCAGGAACTGAGTACTTTCATCTTTGTTTTCCTAGCACTTAGCAGGGCTTCTGACACGTAGAGTTACTCAACAAATACTTGAGGGAGAAGGGAAATCAATTATAGAATGCGTTCAAGGGGCAGCAAGTACTACAATATGGCTGGAACCAAAGATTTATGCAGGAAGGCAGTGGGAATTAAAGCTACAAAAGTAGGTGGGAAAATCGGCCAGATAATATCAAGTGCTGGTAAAGAAGTGGAGGAGTAGACACTCATACACTGCTGATGAGACTGTTAAGTTGGCACAACCATTTGAAGAACTATTTATCAGTATCTAATAAAGTCTAATGCTCATATCCTGTGACCCAGAAATTTCAATTCTCAGGAGACTCTTACACATGTATACTAAGGAGACAGATACATCATATTTACAGTAAAAAGCTGGAAATAAATTGAATGTCCATGAACAGAAGAATGGATGAATAACTAGAAATACACATATCAATGTGGGTGAATATATAATATTAAGTGGATCATACCATCATTAATATTCTTAAAAGAATAAGAAAATATTGCAGGCTGGGTGTATTGGCTCACACCTGTAATCTCAGCACCTTGGGAGGCTGAGGCTAGAGGATTGCTTGAAGTTAGGAATTCAAGATCAGTCTGGGCAACAAAGAAGACCCTGCCTCTAAAAACACAAAACAAAATAAAGCATAAAACCCAGAAAATATTCCATGGAAGCAGACAAGAAACAGTAAAAAGAAACATTCTAGAAGAATCTTTGGAAATTAAAGTATGATAACAGGTCTTAAAAACTCAACAGGGTCAGGCAAGATGGCTCACACCTATAATCCCAGCACTTTGGGAGGATGAGGTGGGTGGATCACCTGAACTCAGGAGTTCGAGACCAGCCTGGCCAACATGGTGAAACCCCATCTCTACAAAAATACAAAACTTAGCCAGGCATGGTGGTGGGTGTCTGTAATCCCAGCTACTCAGGAGGCTGAAGCAGGAGAATCACTTGAACCTGGGAGTCGGAGGTTGCAGTGAGCTGAGATCGAGCCAGTGCACTCCAGCCTGGGCAATAAGATCGAAACTCCATCTGAAAAAAACTGATAGAAGGTTTGTAAGATAAAGTTCAGGGAATCTAGAAAGCCAAGCAAAAGAAAAAAAAACATGGAAAATAATATAGGAATTTTTAAATAGAGAATTTTGAAGATTCAAGAGAGAAAACAAAGAAAATGGAGGAGGAAGATGAAATCATCAATTAATAAAAAAAAAATTCCTCAGAATTGAAGGAAAAACATTTCTGGATTGAAATGGATTAACAAATGTCTTTGCTAATGGATGGAAATGGATCCATACAGAGGCACATCACACAAAATTTTGGGAAACCAAGAACAAAGAGAATATTTTTAAAATATGCCTTTTCCACAAGACTAATAAAGAATGAGTTTCTCAGCTGGGCATGGGGGCTCATACCTGTAATCCCAGCACTTTGGGAGGCTGAGGCAGGCTGATCACTTCAGGCCAGGAGCTTGAGACCAGCCTGGCCAACATGGTGAAACCCGTCTCTACTAAAAATACAAAAATTAGACAAGTGCTGTGGCACATGCCTGTAGTCCCAACTACTCAGGAGGCTGAGACACAAGAATCACTTGAACCTGGGAGGCAGAGGTTGAAGTGAGCTGAGATCATGCCACCACACTCCAGCCTGGCAATATAGTGAGACTCTGTCTCAAAAAAAATGGGTTTCTCCAAAGCAAGGGAGTAAACCAAGAAAGAGGAACACAAAGAATCCAGAATAGTCAATCTAACACAGGAGAGAATGATGCTGAAGAGAATTCCCAGGACAAAAATGATGTATGCAACAGGTTGAGAGAGTAACCAGTCCAGATTAGAGCATGTGAGGGGGCTCCAGGAGAGATTTCTTCAGGAAAAGGAAATTGAAAAAATATCTAATGTGACCAAATATATTGAGAAGAGATGTAGACAACTGGAGGGGGGCAGGGGAGGTTGAGTTAAATTAATAATAAGTACATAGAAAAATACAACTATTAGGTCCAAAGAAAACAAAGTTGTGTAAGAGAAAAACATTACTTGGCTTATTTGTGAACAGTATTTGCATAGTCATAGCAGTATAAACATTGACTTTGTTTTTGAGACAGTCTCGCTCTGTTGCCCTAGCTGGAGGGCAATAGTGTGACCTTGGCTCACTGCAACCTCCACCTCCCTGGTTCAAGTGATTCTCATCCTCAGCCTCCCGAGTAGCTGGGATTACAGGTGCTCACCACCAGGGCAACTCACTTTTGTATTTTTGGTAGAGACAGGGTTTCCCCATCTTAGCCAGGCTGGTGTTGATTCCTGACCTCATGATCCACCCACCTCGGCCTCCCAAAGTGCTGGGATTACAGGTGTGAGCCACCGCACCTGGGCCCACACTGACTAATTAGCCAAAATTATAACACAAGTGTATTGAGAGGACAGAGAAAGTGAAGCATGCAGATGCCATGTGAATGAGTGAGGATGTGGTAGTGGTGGCACTGGCGGTCATGAAAACTATGCAAGTCTCTTCTTCTCTGGGGGGAAGTTCCTAAATAATGTAAAAATGCTTAAATTAACGCACAGTCATATAAACCTTTAGAGGTAAGTCTTTGGGAGACAGAGAGGTAAATGCCAGAAGTTTCCATTAAAAGGAGTTGAAAGTGATTACCTTTGAGAAGAAAATGGTGAGGAGAGGAGCCTGGAGCACTGCTATTTCAAAACAGCCCCATGGCAGGGTGGGGAGTTGGGGGGATGGGGACAAACCTTAAAGGCCATTTAATTCTTTAAATCATGTACAAGTATAACTTAAATACAAAATAAGAATAAAATAAAAAGAAAAAAAGAAGAACAAAATACAAAGAGACTGTAGGACACTTTTCCAAGTTGGGAAACCTCTACCCCCAGTCGATTTCTATGACATTGTCTTACGTGATATCTCACCAATCTTCCCCCACACTCAGACGAGGGTGCTGACAAGAGTGGAAGGGAGGCACTGACTGGATCTCGATCTGCCCTGTCAGGCTCTGGTTAGAAGCTGGAGTCAGCAGTCCATTAACACTAAATGACTCCTCTCTAGGCCAGTTCAAGATTTTTCTACTGAAATTACAAATATTAGAACCAGGCTGACTCAATTCTAAAGGGTTTCTTCTTCCTTACATTCCACTGAATATCATGATTCCAAAACCCATGATTCTTTTTTTTTTTGAGATGGTGTCTTGCTCTGTCGCCCAGGCTAGAGTGCAGTGGTGCAATCTCAGCTCACTGCAACCTCCACCTCCCGGTTTCAAGCAATTCCCCTACCTCAGCCTCCCAAGTAGCTGGGATTACAGGCACCTGCCACTGCACCCGGCTACAAAACCCATGATTCTAAACACACCTTCTACTCCTTTCTCTTGGTTTTTCTCCATTTGTTGCTAGAATGGCCTTGGGGTCCATCTGTCTTTGGCAGCACTCATACTTGCCAAGTCTTTTAACACTTGGGTAACAAAGTATTTTTTTTACTCTTTCACTTCACTCTCTTGCCTTCACAGAGGATAAAAGGCAGAGGTACTGTTGGCTATGGTTATTTTTTTGTACAGAATATTATCTTTACCTAACGTTCTACAATATTTTTCCTTTTTCTTCACTGGCTATTCTACTGGCTCTGATTCTAAGCCTGGTCCACGACATAAATAAGGAATTGTTTGGGGAACAAAACTGGAATGACCTTGGTAAACCGGGTGTGCTCATCCATTTACTGCATAGTACTCAAGGGAGAAGAATGTCTCATTTCAGATTAGTTCAAAACAAAACTTTGTCCTTGTCTCTGACCTAGACAGCCCTCTTATCTGTGATAAAGAAGGCATACTTATGCTATTTTCAGCTAAAGAAAGCTAGAAGGGATATTGAATATCTTGGAAGACTGAATTGGAATTCATAAAGCTCTAAATAGGTTCCAGAGTTAGAGTTTTTTTAACAAATAAATGAAATTTACCAGGGATATTTTTAAAGTCCTATGCTTATATTCGAAATATTAATTTCACGAACATAGGATGAGGAAGACTTAGCTTAACAGTTCAATTGAAAAAGGCTATGAACCCTCACTGACTACAAGCTTAACAAGTTGTTTGTTTATTATTAGTTTTTTAGGCTGAACAATTTGACAGCAGAAAGTGGCTAGGGAATGACTACCAAAATGTAAAATACTTCTCTTTTTACTTTTGACCACAAGGCAAGATTGTTTGAGTGCATCAATCAGTTCACAAATATTTACTGAGGATATGCTGTGTGTCTATTAAGAGGAAGGGGGTGTGGCAGTAGAATGAAAGGAAAAGCCCAAGAATCTTTGAACAGGTTGGCCAGACAACATATACATAGGAAATGATAGCAGTAATGATTACTTACATTTGAATAGTGCTTTAATTTATTATGTCTCTCATTTATACCACCTCTTCAGACTTCATAGCTGCCCTATGAGGTGGTAAGTAAAATACAGTTATCATTTTATTTTTTTTTTAATTTTTGAGACAGTTTTGCTCTGTCGCCCAGACTGGAGTTCAGTGGTGTGATCTCGGCTCACTGTAACCTCTGCCTCCTGAGTTCAAGGGATTCTCCTGCCTCAGCCTCCCGAGTAGCTGGGACTACAGGCTAATTTCTGTATTTTTAGTAGAGACGGTGTTTCACTAGGTTGGCCAGGCTGGTCTCGAACTCCTGACCTCAAGTGATCCGCCTCTCTCGGCCTCCCAAAGTGCTGGGATTACAGGCATGAGCCACCATGCCCGGCTGATTATCATTTTAAAGAAGAGAAGACTGAGGCTGGGAGAAATTAAAGCAGTGATTCTCAAACGTTTAGCTCTCAACCCCTTTATGTCCTTAAAATTATTAGGTATTTCACACTATATACAAAAAATTAAATCAAAATGGATCAGAGACCTAAATGTAAGAGCTATAACTATAAAACTCTTAAAACTAAGTGTAAATCTTTGTGACCTTGAAACAGACAATGGCTTCTTTAATGTGACACTAAAAGCACAAGCAACAAAATAAAAAATAGGTAATTGGGCTGCATCAAAATTAAAAAGTTTAATTCTTCAAAAGATACTAGCAGCCAGGCGTGGTGGCTCACACCTGTACTCACAGCACTTTGGGAGGCTAAGGTGGGAAGATCGCTTGAGCCCAGGAGTTTGAGACCAGCCTGGGCAACATAGTGAGATCTTATATCTCCAAAAAAGTTTAAAAATTAGCCAGGCGTGGTGGTACATACCTGTGGTCCAGCTACTTGGGAGGCTGAGGCAGGAGGATCACTGGGGCCTGGGAACTCAAGTCTTCAGTGAGTTGTGTTCAGTCCACTCAAGACTGAGCAACAGAACAAGATGCTGTCTCTAAAACAACAGAAAAAATAACAATAAAAACCTATTACATTATAACAGATTTTTAAGGAAAATAACTGTTTCCAAAGCAAACAAATATTTAGTGAGATGAGAGTCATTTTACATTTTTATTAATTTCATTAATGTCTGACTTAATAGAAGACAGCTGGATTCTCATATCTATTGCCATATGTTGTTTGGTTGAAATAGATGAAGAAAATCTAATCTCATTCAAATATGTGGTTGGAAAAGACAGGAGGATTTTTTTTTTTTTTTTTTTTTTGAGATGGGGTCTCACTCTGTCACCCAGGCTGCAGTGCAGTGGCCCAATCTCGGTTTGCTGAAACCTCCACCCCCCGGGCTCAAGTGATCCTCCTGGGCTCAAGGGATCCTCCCATGTCAGCCTCCCAAGTAGCTGGGAATACATGCGTATGCCACCACACCCAACTAATTTTTGTATTTTGGTAAAGATGAAGTTTCACCATGTTGTCCAGGCTAATCTTAAATTCCTGGACTCAAGTGATCCGCTCACTTTGGACTCCCAAAGTGCTGGGATTACTGGTGTGAGCCACTGCAGGGGGGGAGGATTTCAATAGATAATTGTGGATATTCTTTGATACTACACTAAAACTCAACAAGTATAGTATCTTAAAGGCTAGTTGCACTAAGGAATTTGAAACCATATTAATGAATTTTTTGTATTCCATTACACTATAGTTCATTGGTCTAACTTGCATTTTCTTTTCTTTTCTTTCTTTTTTGTTTTTGAAACATGGTCTTACTCCATCACCCAGGCTGGAGGGCAGTGGCACAATCACAGCTCCCTGCAACCTCGAACTCCTGAGCTCGAGCAATCCTCCCAGCTTAGCCTCCCAAGTAGCTAAGACTTCAGGCACATGCTAACATGCCTGGCTAATTTTTTCACTCTTACTATTTTTAGAGATGGGATCTTGCTATGTTGGCCAGGCTGGTCTCAAACTCCTGGCTTCAAGTGATCCTCCAGCCTCTACCTCCCAAAATGCTGGGATTAGAGGCATGAGCCACCATAACTGGCCTCATTTGCATTTTCAGTGCACCTTTTATCCATGCATGATTTTGTAACATTGTGTTTTGGTCATTTGAAAAGTATTCATTCTCTGAGTTATACAAATCTTCTAAAATGTTGACACATTTTATTCTATAATGTTTAAAAAAAATCACATTTGTTAACATCACCACTGATGTCATCAGATGATTCTTTAATTATTGGGAAGCTGTCAAGCTTAGTACCACATTCAAGATTTCTAAAATTCTAATTTTTACTTGAAAGCCATTTTTTTTGGGCGGGGGCGGACAAGGTCTTGCTCTGTTGCCTTGGCTGGAATGCAGTGACACAATCATGGCTCACTGCAGCCTTGGCCTCCCAGGCTCAAGTGATCCTTCCATCTCAACTGGTACATGCCACCACGCCTGGCTAATTTTTTTTTTTCTTTTTGGAGAGACTGCCCAGGCTGGTCTCAAACTCCTGAGCTCAAGTGCTCCTCCAGCCTCAGCCTCCCTAAGTGCAGGGATTATAGGCATAAGCCACTGCCGAAAGCTCAGATTTTATCATTGGAACAAATAGTGCAAGTTGTTATCTTGAAGTAACAACTTTACTTGCCTAATGTTCTTGAAACTGCAAAATACCCAAGTCTGACCCTGGCCAACCTGGTGAAACCCCGTCTCTACTAAAAATACGAAAATTAGCCAGGTGTGGTGGTGGGCGCCTGTAATCCTAGCTACTCAGGAAGCTGAGGCAAGAGAATCACTTGAACCTGGGATGCAGATGTTGCAGTGAGCCAACATTGCACCATCGCATTCTAGCCTAGGGGAGAGAGAGAGATTCCATCTCAAAAAAAAAAAACTTTAATGAAACAGAATTTCCCTCCAAGTGCAGGGCAGTGAGAAATGTAATGCCTATGGGTACAGTTTGGTGCTACTACCTTGATTCCTCTTAAGGTGCAAAGAATTTCCCACCATCAGTAGCAATGTCAATATGAGGATGAAAAAAGGCAAATAAAGGCTTAGTATCAGCATGAACATCATTTTGGTCTTATGGATATCCTGTAAATTACTTGGGATACCCTCAAGGATCCAGACTACACATTGAAAACCTCTGTGTAAATGTCTTTCCCCAAAGTCTCACATCTATTAAGCAGTAGAACCAATACTTGAAACTGGGTCATACCGTCTCCTAGCCTAATGGCTTCTCATTGCACCACAGTATGCAAAATGAATGATACAAAGAGGAAGTATAACTCACATTAAAACCAAATAATTAAATTTCTACCAGAGGCCTACTTAGAAATACAGTTATTGTTTATCAACCAGGTATGATCACTTTACGCTCACCTAGTCCAGATCATAAAGACAGCTTAAACAGATTTAGTCAAAACCATGAAGAAATAGCTTGACATTCAAAAGAGATGAGATTAACATCTATTTCCTAGACTGAAAATAAAATAACTCTATTACCTTATGTTTGGTTAAAGGGCTTTGATGTGTTTAATATCAGTCTTAAAACTAGGTGGAACTAGCCAGGTATAGTGGCTCACACCTGTAATCCAAGCACTTTGGAGGCCAAGGCGGGCAGATCACCTGAGGTCAGGAGTTCAAGACCAGTCTGACCAACATGGTGAAATCCTATCTTTATTTAAAAAAAAAAAACAAAAACACTAGGTAGAACCTAAGAGGTATTTAATATATCATCTCATCCCATTCAAGAACCTGCTTACAGAATCTTGGATGAGCTGAACAAATCTGGTGAGGGAAGCAGCTTACTCCTCCCAAGACACCATAGAAGAACTCAAGTTATTTGAGCTGCCCTCCCATCCATTGCCACGCTTGCTCTCATTCCCATATAGTTTTATCTTTCTATTCAACCCTCTGGACAATGAGGAATAGGAATAGGTCTATTTCCTCATCTGTGTTATATTTTAAATCAGCTATTGAAGCCCCTCATAAACCTTCCCCCGCTGCCTGCTTGTTTTTCTTTTTTTTTTTCGAGACTAGGTCTTACTCTATCACGCAGGCTGGAGTGCAGTGGTATAATTGTGGCTCACTGAAGCCTCAACCACTCAGGCTCAAGCAATCCTCCCACTTCAGCCTCCCAAGTAGTTGGGACCACAGACGTATACCACCACGTCCCACTAATTATTTTTTATTTTTTATAGAGACAGGGTCTCCCTATGTTGTCCAGGCTGTTCTTGAACTTCTGGGCTCAAGCAATCCTCCTGCATTGGCCTCTTGAAGTGTTGGGATTATAGGCGTGACTCACCATGCCCAGTGCCCTTTTTCAGTCTTAAAGTACTGAGTTTCTCCACTTTCCTTTCTGTCTGGACCCATTCAAGGGTCTTTTATTTGTTGGTGGTTTTGTTTTAGAGGCCCAGGTGTGGCCTTTACTCATTCTCCAGGCCTTGCTCCCAGTCTCGCCTTCTTTATGCTGTGGAACTATGTCATCCTTCCTTTCTCTCTTTTTTTGTTTTGAGATGGATCTCAATCTGTCACCCAGGTGTGATCTCAGCTCACTGCAACCTCCACCTCCCACGTTCAAGCAATTCTCCTGTCTCAGCCTCCCAAGTAGCTGGGACTACAGGCATACGCCACCATACCCAGCTAATTTTTGTATTTTTAGTAGAGACAGGGTTTTATCATATTGGTCAGGCCGATCTCGAACTCCTGACCTCAGGTAATATCTCGAGCTCCTGACCTCAGGTAATATCTCAAACTCCTGACCTCAGGTAATCCACCCACCTCGGCCTCCCAAAGTGCTGGGATTACAGGCGTGACCCACTGTGCCCGGCCCACCCTTCCCTTCTCTACTGATTGAGCCTTTCTTGTGTTCCAGGCACTGTGCTCTGGTCTGCCATTTAATCCCCAGCACAACCCTATGAATTAGGTACCATCAATAGTCCCCCTCTTGTTAAAATTAATGCACTATAGTTTGAGGAGTTGGATAATTGTACAGGGCTGTGTAACCATAACCTCAATGAATATATAGAACAGCTCCCTCATCCTAAAAGTTTCTTCATGCCTTTTTTTTTTTAGACAGTCTCACTCTGCCACACAGGCTGTAGTACAGTGGTACAATCTCAGCTCACTGCAACCTCCGCCTCTTGAGTTCAAAAGATTCTCCCACTTCAGCCTTCTGAGTAGGTGGGACTATAGGCATGCACTACCACACCGGGCTAATTTTGTATTTTTAGTAGAGACAGGGTTTCACCATGTTGGCTAGGCTGGTCTCAAACTCCTGACCTCAGGTGATCCGCCTGTCTCAGCCTCCCAAAATGCTGGGATCATAGGCCTAAGCCACCGTGCCTGGCATATATACTATTTTTTAAACTGGATGTTTCTAAGATGTATTGGGGGAAAAAAGATGCGTTGAATAACTCTTTATGGCAATTATAGAGTTTTACAACATAATTTTAATGGCTCTATAGTACTCTATCAAATGAATGTTTCATAATTTATGTAATGGATGCCTGTTGTTTTGTACATATATAAATAATGTCCTGCTTCCTCTTCCTGGAATTATTTTCTTCTATTAGAATATCATAGTTTGCTTTTTTTTATTTTTCATATCTTTCTGATACTTCTTTTTCTGTTTTGCTAGCTCTGTGTCCTCCTTTTTTTTTTGAGACAGTCTCTCCCTATTGCCCAGGCTGGAGTGCAGTGGCACAATCTTGGCTCACTGCAACCTATGCTTCCCATGTTCAAGCAATTCTCCTACATTAGCCTCTTGAATAGCTGGGATTAGAGGAGCCCACCACCACCATGCTTGGCTGACATTTAGTAGAGACAGGGTTTCACCATGTTGGCTAGGCTGGTCTTGGGCCTCCACAGTGCTGGGATTACAGGCATGAGCTACCACATCTGGCCTCTGTGTTCTCTTTCTATTTTCCCAAGATTCTGTACTTGAATCTTCTTTTTTTTTTTTTTTTTTTTTTTTTAGACAGGGTCTTGCTCTTGCTCTGTTGCCCACGCTGGAGTGCAGTGATGCTACCTCAGCTCATTGCAGCCTTGACCTCCCCAGGCTCAGGTGATCCTCCCACCTCAGCCTCCCAAGTAGCTGGGATTACAGGCATGTATCACCACACCCGGCTAATTTTTGCATTTTTTGTAGAGAAGGAGCCTCACCATGTTGCCCAGCCTGGTCTCAAACTTCTGGGCTTAAGCAATCCTCCTGCCTCAGCCTCCCAAAATGCTGGGATTACAGGCATGAGCCACCATACTCTGCCCAAATCTTCTTCTATAATTTCTCTTTAGATCATCAATTTTCTCTCCAGCTCCAGTATAAACCCTTTGGATCTCATCTCTACTTCTCTTCCCGACACCACATCCTAATTACCAACTGTCTACCAGGTGTTATTTAAACAGGAATATACTTCTTGCAATTCAAACGCCACATGTCAAAAACTGAACTCCTATTCCCTTTCCAAAATGTCTCTGCTTCTCTCTTTCTCTCTCCTTTTTGCTACCTATTTCAGGTAGGGGAAATGCTGTCCTTTTAGCCACTCAGGCTAGAAACCTCAGTCTTCTTCTGATTGCTCTCCTCATTCATCTCACATATCCGATCAATAAAGTGCTATTGATTCTCGTCTCAAAAGCCTCCCAGTTTGTACCCTTCCTTTCCATTCCCACCGTGACCATCCCAGCTTTTGAGGTCCCATGATACCTCACCGGAGTGGTAACAATAGCCTCCCAACTGATCTCCACCCTTCGCCCCCTCCCTCCGCTGCTCTACTATGTTGCCATGAGAGTTAACTGTGAAACAGAGAGATTATTTTCCTTTCCTGCTTGAAAATATCTGATGACTGCTTATCTGATAATTTAATCACTTACAGAAGCCAGTGTAAACTCTCCACTGTCCCCTCCCACTTACCCACCACACACCACCTTCCCGCGCCGGTTGCGTCAGCCTCGAACGTTCCTGAAAGCTTTGCCGTTCCTGTGCTTTTACTCACGTTCTGCCCTGTGACTGCCCAATCTTTAGTGTGTTTTGCTGACTCCTGGCGCTCTGCCTCTTCCATGAGAGGCGTTTTTGCACGATTGCAGACAGAAATTAAAATGAGCTCTGCCTATTGGCCCGTCCTGGTTAGCAAGCTCTACACCACCTCAAAGGCAGCTATGGACTACGAGCCCACAGGGGTGATCTGGGCTTATGAGGGAGGGGCTGGCCGTGGAAACGGCTAAGGCACTTCACACGTCTCCCCAGCAGGGAAGCGATGGGACCTCTGGGGGGCAGGGAACGCAATCTCCACCCGTCTGGAAAACTCTCTGAGTTCTGGGGCACTGTTCACGTCCAGACTGAGTGGCGTGTCCGCATTTTCCCCATTCCAGGGCAGGGCAGACTGAGGTAGAAGAGCAGAGCCTCGAGGCTGACTCCCCGGAAAAAAAAAAAAAAAAAGAAAGAAAGAAAAAAGAAAAAACCGCTCCAGCCGACCTGTGATTCACAGGAGCAGCAGGCTGGAAGGACTGCGCCTCCTGATTGGAGCAGACAGAATCAGACAAACTTGGGGGCCGCTGATTGGCTGCAGCGTGGTCAGGCGCTGTTGGGCTGTTGTAAATGTAAATAGCTCTTGAAGGCCCGGGTCTGTGACCGGCAGTAACCCCGGCGAGAAGGGGTGGAGCGAGAGGCCCTTCCTCTCCATTCATGTCTGCTGCCAGCCAGGCCCGGACAGGCAGGCTCTTCAGCGGAGGGGACTGGAAAGGATGAGGTGATGGGTGTCTTCGGAGATCTTAAGCTTGAGCTGAAAGTTAAAAACTCACCCGTAGGGCTGAGCCAGGGCTGGCACCTTCCACGCCAAGTTGCTTCCTATCTGAGTTCAGTTTTGACTGTTTGAAAGCTTAATATGATGTTCTGGGGGAAGACAGAGGCGCTGGAGGTTGGTAGGAGGGTAGTTTTATGGAGTCACGTTAGTGGCTGTAATAGGTGTACTTTAGTGACCACAGTGAGGTGGCATCCTGTCCTCGCCTCCTCCTGGTCACAATATCGTATTTGTGGAAAAGGAAAGAATGGAGGCTTGGAATAGTCTTTCTACCAGAAATTGCAGAGATGCAATTTCTCCCACCCTCTACTCCAGGGGAAAGGGAAGTCTGTGGGGAACTGGCTTTCTAAAAGGTAGGGAGGAGGAAAAGGGGCAGATTGGTACACGTTAAGAAGAGGACGACTCTCATACATTGCTGGAGAAATGTAAAATGGTGCAGCCACAGGGGAAACAGTTTGATAGCGCCACAAAAAGTTAAATACAAAATTAGCATCTGGGCCAGGTGCAGTGGCTCACACCTGTAATCCCAGCACTTTGGGAGGCCAAGGCAGGCAGATCACCTGAGGTCAGGAGTTCCAAACCAGCCTGGCCAACTTGGTAAAACCCTGTCTCTACTAAAAACAGAAAAGTTAGCCTGGCATGGTGGTGGGCACCTGTAGTCCCAGCTACTCGGAGAGGCAGGAGAATCGCTTGAACCTGGGAGGCAGAGGTTGCAGTGAGCCAAGATGTCACCATTGCCCTCCAGCCTGGGCGACAGAGCAGGACTCCATCTAAAAAAATAATAGCATCTGACCCAGCAACTCTACTCCTAGATACAAAACCTAATACATTATAAACATACTCAAACATTTACACTCAGATGTTCATGGCAGTGCTATTCTCAATAGCTAAAAGGTGGAAACAACTCCAGTGTTTATCAGTGAATGAATCAGTAAACCAACTGTGGTATATTCATACAATGGAATATGAATAGGTAATAAACAGGAATGAAGTACTGATATATTGTCCAACAGGGATGAACGTTGAAAGATTATGCCAAGAGGGAGAGATCCAAGATGGCCTATCACTAGCAGCTCAGGATTGTAGCCCCAGTGAAAGCGCAGAGAACGAGAGGACGCCACACTTTCAGACAAGTTTTTGTTGCTCACAGACCAGGAGATTCCCAGGGGAGGAGCCCCACTAGTCACCAGCGTGACTCTTGTGGCCGGCACAGTGGTTCTCGGTGCAGAGTAAACGGGACCGGGTCCCCTTCTGGTCGACGTTTGGAGCTCCAGGAAGGCAGAGTCGCCCATTTAGCTGATTGAAGAAGGGATTGAGGAGGGAAGCCAGACCAGAGATTCCTGGGCAGAAAAGCACCAAGAATCTTGACACCGCTGTTTTAGCCGGCACAGTGGGTTGCTCAGATTTCGGCGCTGGGAATCAACAAGTTGGATGTCCACTCAGAGACCTAATTTGAAAGTCGGTAATTACAAAGACGACAGGTAGATAAATTTACAATGACAGGAAGAAACTATCGTAAAAAGGCTGAGAATACTCAAGATCAGAATGCGTCTCTCTCTACAGAGGATCACAGTTACTCATCAACAAGGGAACAAGATGGAGAACGAGTGCGTTTTAATAACAGAATTAGGCTTTAGACGGTGGATAATAAGAAACTTCTGTGAGTTAAAAGAACATGTTCTAGCCCAATGTAAAGAAACTAAGAACCTTGAAAAAAGGTTTGACGAAATCCCAACAGGAATTGACAATTTAGAGAGGAATATAAGTGAATTAATGGAACTGAAGAGTACAATACAAGAACTCTGCGAAGTATGCACAGGTTTTAACAGTCAAATTGATCAAGCAGAAGAAAGGATATCAGAGGTAGAAGACCAACTTAATGAAATGAAATGAGAAGACAAGATTAGAGAAGAAAAAGTAAAAAGGAATGAGAAAAGTCTCCAAGAAATATGGGACTATGTGAAAAGACCTAATTTACGTTTGACAGGTGTACCTGAATGTCATGAAGAGAATGAATCCAAGCTGGAAAATATTCTTCAGGATATTATTCAGGAAAACTTTCCTAACCTACTAAAGCAGGACAATACTCAACTCCAGGTAATACAGAGAACACCACAAAGATATTCCTCAAGTAGAGCAACCCCAAGACACATAATCGTTAGATTCACCAGGGTTGAAATAAAGGAGAAAATTCTAAGGGCAGCTAGAGAGAAAGGTCAGGTTACCCATAAAGGGGAAGCCTGTCAGACTCACAGCAGATCTCTCAACAGAAACCCTACAAACTAAAAGAGAGTGGGGGTCGATATTCAATATCCTCAAAGAAAAGAATTTTCAACCCAGAATCTCATATCCAGCCAAACTAAGCTTCATGAATGAAGGAAAAATAAAATTTTTCATGAACAAGCAAGCACTCAGAGATTTCATCACCACCAGGCCTGCTTTACAAGAGCTTCTGAAAGAGGCACTATACACAGAAAGGAACAACCAGTATCAGTCATCCCCAAAACTTACCAAAAGGTAAAGAGTATCTTCATAATGAAGAATCTATATCAACTAATGGGCAAAATAGCCAGCTAGCATTAAATGACAATATTAAACTCACAAATATCAATATTAATCCTAAATTTAAATGGATTAAACACCCCAATCAAAGACACAGACACCCAAACTGAATAAAAAGTCAAAACACATCAGCACGCTGTATTCAGATCCATCTCATAAGCAAGGACACACAAAGACCCAAAACAAAAGGTTGGAGGAAGACTCACCAGTCAAATGGAGAGAAAAAAAAAAAAAACAGGTGTTGTAACTTTCGTCTCTGACAAAATAGACTTTAATAGTAACAAAGACTAGAAGAAACAAAGAAGGACGTTACATAATGGTAAAAGGATCAATGCAACAATAGGAGTCAATGATCATAAATATATATGCACACAATATAGGAGCACCCAGATACATAAGACAAGTTTTCAATGACTTATAAAGAGACTTGGACTCTCACACAATAATAGCAGGAGACTTTGACACCACATTGTTAATATTCGAGAGATCAACGAGATAGAAAATTAACAGGGACATTTATGATTTGAACTCAGACCTGGAACAACTAAATTCAGTGAATATTTATAGAATTCTTCACCCCAGGTCCATAGAACATACATTTTTTTCAGTATCACGTTACACCTATTTTGAAAGTGACCATATAAATGGAAACAAATCACTCTTCAGCATTTGCATAGCATTTCACAGATTTAAATGAAATATTGGTTGGCTGTATGTTTGTTATTTTCTTATTCTTTCCTGTCTCCGCTGTTAAGCACAATTATTTGCATAAAAGAGGTTTTTAATACCTATTTTTAGATTGCATTCCAGCCTGGGCAATAGAGCAAGACTCCTGTTCTCTCTCCCCGTTTCTATTTCTCTTTCTTTCATAAAAAAAAAAAAAAAAAAAAGATTATGCCAAGAGAAGGAAGCCAGACAGAAGATCACATATTGTATGATTCCATGTATATGAAATATCCTGAATTGGTAAATCCGTAGAGACAGAAAGCAGATTGGTGGTTGCCAGGGGCCAAATGTGGGTGGAAAGTTGGGGAATCACTGTCCAATGGGTTCAAATTTTCTTTCGGGGTGAAAATGTTTTAGAACCAAAGGTAGTGGTTGCACAATATTGTGAATGCACTAAGTGCCACAGAACTGGTCACTTTAAAATGGTTAGTTTGGCCTGGCGCAGTGGCTTACACCTGTAATCCCAGCACTTTGGGAGGCTGGGGTGGCGGGTGGATCACCTGAGATCAGGAGTGTGAAACTAGCTCGGCCAACAAAGTGAAACCCCATCTCTACTAAAAATTTAAAAAATTAGCTGGGCGTGGTGGCAAGTGCCTGTAATCCTAGCTACTCAGAAAGCTGAGGCAGGAGAATTACTTGAACGTAGGAGGTGGAGGTTGCAGTGAGCCGAGATCATGCCATTGCACTCCAGCCTGGGTGGCAAGAGCGAAACTCCATCTCAAAATAAAATAGTTTGGCAGAGCGTGGTGGCTCATGCCTGTAATCGCAGCACTTTGGCCAAGGTAGGATTGCTTGAGCACAGGAGTTTGAGACTAGCCTGGGCAATATAGTGAACCCCTATCTCAATAAAAAAAATGGTTAGTTTTGTTATTCGAATTCCCTCTCAATTAAAATGTATCTCTCTCTCTCTCTCTCTCTCTCAAACTGACAAACTAAAAGGTGAGTCCTTCCTACTGTCCATAATTCTCTAAGGAAGAAGTAAGAAACAGCAATTCTGAGTCCTCTGCTGCCTTTCACTTTCACTTTCCCCTCTGATTTTTGATGTCTGGCATGGCCCTGGCTGCTCACTGCTCCTCATGGAAAATGGCCAGGAGGGAGAGGGCCCCTTCGGCCCCTCTGAGAAGGTCCTTGCCTGGGCCCATAACTCACTGTGAGTCAGCGCTGCACACACACTGCGCCTTTGTGACCACTCTGAGGCCAGGGTGTAGCTTGCTGGGCGGGACTGGGTGGGGGAAGGGAGGGCCTGGGACCTGAAAGTGGTAAGGCTTCTGCCTCCAGCCACTCGAGTATGGAATCTCAGCTGCTTGGAGCCTGCAATTAGGACGTGTGGCATTTGTTCCAAAGTCAGTGTATAAGAATCGGCGCCTTGCCTGCAGCACAGAAAGTTAACTACAGGTCACAAAATATGACTCCTACTCCCTGTG